CAGAAACATTAAAATTTGAAGATGCTTCATTTTCTTAAATGCTGCTTGAAACTGCCTCAATATGACCCTTTTCTTTATAAATTCAGATTCAATCTGAATATGAAATTACATATGTCTTAAGAAACATGTCATCTTGCAATAAGCAAGGTACCAAGATTCTTGACAATCTCAGGTCTGCTAAAGGCACTTTAGTGTGTATATCTCTGTCAGGCAATAGAAAGATATTATGAAACTAAAACTTTGGCTGATTAACAGATCATTTAAATTGAGACAGCTAGATCTTAAAATTACTTCTCCGGAGGAAAAAAATGACAATGCTAGAGTGTAGCTAGAAAACAGAAACTTGAGTAGACACAGTAATGACCAGAAAAGGCTACCTTTTACACATGTCTTTTGCTATGCTTCAAATTCATGTCACCCAAAAGTTATGAAGTGCACAAAGCAACCCACTTAACAGAGAAGTATTTTCAATGAATGGTATGCTTAGAACTTGGTAAGGTTTTTTCAGGTCTTTCTGAGTAGCAAATTCTAATGAGGCTTTTTAGAGTTGACAGTTTAAATTCATACAAGAAATAAAAACTCACTACTGTGGCTGGGCAAAATATTTATTTTCTCAAAGACTGCTTTTCTGGTTTGTTTTCTCCCTGCACTGTATCCATGGTCCCATGATGAAACTGTTATTTTGTTGATATATTTATTGGAATATGTGGGCCAACTTCCTTTCTACTCAACATATGGATTGGTAGTTTAAAATAATTCCTTTCTATTAAGCAAATGTGTGGCTAAGGCACATTTAAATAGCCCATTAAACCAAAGAGATGACAATGTGTTACCCTCAGAGAAAGCTTAATTTTTGGAGTAATTAATTACACATATCACAGAATGCCTCATGAGAACATTTTTGGCTGGGTCTACCAATTGAGTGCATAAATAATTATAGATTTTCATTTGAGGCAAATATGCTGATTCATCATTAGTAAGGTGGTAATAGGTAATCATTCATTTTATTTTTGTTAGCATCTATCTTTCCTGTGGGGAAACTTACTATGTGCTCTACATTTATTTAATTTTAAAAGTCAATTGATTATTCTGAGTTTAAAAAATAACATAAAACTGTGGTTTTAAATCACAGCGCCTGCTTTTCTTTTGTCAGTGAAATTATGTAAGCATTTAGACAAGGAAAGTGTAAGACTTGTGGTTTCTGGTCTCTTTTTACTGTTCGTGAGCCTACTTGTCATGATATTCCACAACAGTGCACTTGCCTTTTTATGCTGTTTTATGTACCTTCAAACTTACCCACATAAATATATATACCATTGTTGGAGTGGGCTACCATCATCAGGAATAATGTCATTTGTTTCTTCAAATTCCTTTATTATACAGTACCAAAAAAGTGACAGACTGTGCAGTCTGATCAGTTTTGGAGGAGAAATACATTAAAATTTTCAATTATCTCACTTTCTAGAATCAAAATAATCTGATGTTTCCTTGCAGTACTCAGCGTGAAAAATGGAAAACTGAATACCAGTGGGCCCAAAAGAGAAACATGCCTCATGATCGTTATTAGCTGTGGACAAGTAATTCAACCTAGTGCTCTCATTTTTGAATGGGTTGTTGTGGGAATTAAAAAAGAAAATTCTAGAACAGCATCAGTGCCTGGGCAGCAGGCACAAATATTAGCTGCAACTGAATTTTTGTCATAGAGATAAAATAGATAAAATGGGTCCACTTTTCTTTTCTCATAATGCTTTCATTACTAACAAAGATTTACATCTTTCTTGTTATTGTGCCTCTTCAATTTATTTAGAAATGTCAACTAGGGTTTTCTTGGAACGTACCATTAAGGTAGATTGGAAATTCTTAAACGTCAGTGTGTGTAAGAAACATCTGGAAATCTTGCTGAAGATGTTGATTCCTAGCCCTCTCTTTTGAAATTTCACATTTTAAGAAATAGTGATTTAGATTTTTGACTTAGCATGGGCCTAACTCACCCTCTTATAGGACTATTTTGTTAATGTCCTTCTTCCTGATTTCTGGTGTTCTGTAAAGGCTCTCTCCACTTTTGAGTGTAAATTAGTTTAACTATTGTGGAAGACAGTGTGGCGATTCCTCAAGGAACTAGAAATAGAAATAGCATTTGACCCAGCAATCTGGATATACCCAAAGGATTATAAGTCATTCTACTATAAAGACACATGCACACATATGTTCATTGTGGTACTATTCACAATAGCAAAGACTTGGAACCAACCCAAATGCCCATCAATAATAGACTGGATAAAGAAAATGTGGTGCATATATACCATGGAATACTATGCAGCCATAAAGAAGGATGAGTTCATGTCCTTTGCAGGGACATGGATGAAGCTGGAAACCATCATTCTCAGCAAACCGACACAAGAACAAAAAATCAAACATCACATGTTCTCACTCATAAGTGGGTGTTGAACAATGAGAACACATGGACACAGGGAGGAGAACATCATGCACTGGGGTCTGTTGAGGCGTGGGTGGGCTAGGGAAAGGATAGCATTAGGAGAAATACCTAATGTAGATGACAGTTTGATGGATGCAGCAAACCACCATGGCACGTGTATGCCTATGTAACAAACCTGCACGTTCTGCACATGTACCCCAGAACTTAAAGTCTAATTAAAAAAAGACTCTACCACCTTTCTCTCAAGTACCCAGTCTTTCTGTCCTTTCCCTGAATTTTCTGGGACAGTTTTGTTTGTCAGGTACAGTCAGAGAATGAACTAGCCTTGAATTAAAAGCAGTATTTCCAGGCCAGTCAATGTCTGATAGAATGGCTGGTTACATAGCATGCACCGGAAAAGATCATCTCTAACCCTGTCTCCTCAGGGAGAGGCATGATATACTGCGTGAGAAAGCTGAAATTCCAGTGGTGCTTTTGTTACTAACTAAATACATGACTATGTCCACGTTTCTTGCTCACTTTGGGTTTAGTTACTATATCTGGTAGGGGTAATTGATAATGCCTTCTCTGGTTGAAGGCCAGATCTCAGGGCTTAAAGCAGAATCTTTCTTAGGATTTCTTTTGACTCTGAGACTTACGCTTTTCCATGAAGGGCAGTATCTCATGTGTACCCTGACTGAACACAAATTTCACTTTTACACCTTTGCCACATTTTCTTCAGAGAAAATTTAGGATTCATTATTTCCTGGTGCAATTCTATGTATGAAAGATTGTGAGAAGTCCTAGACATATAGATGACTCAGCAACAATTTAAACCTACTACCAATTCACATAACACTTGCTGTTAACTTGCTCAGGGTTTTATTTATTCAGAGCTATTGGGGTGGGGTGGGGTGCAGTGGGGTGCAGGAGGGTGAGGAGGGGAGTGAAATAATATACACTTGGAGGCACCCTCAGATAATTACACCATAGCAGTGATGCTGCTAGTTAAGAGATTTGTTGCAAAGATGTAAAGCAGCATGTATAGAAATTCTTGGACATCTGCTTAAGTTATAATTTAGTTTCTCCACGTATCTCTTAATAGACTAATAAAACCCACAGTTAACTACATTTTTCAAATAACAGCTAACATATAATTTAGAGGTGAGGAATACAGATAAGATTTTTCTCTATACAGTGTGCCTTCCCTAGGTACGCAATCTTTAAACAAAGATGAAGAAGAAACGTATTTTCTGCTGTCAATGCTATTGTAGGTTATGGGAATAAATTCATTTAGAAATTTGTTCTAAAATAGTGAACTACCAAACTGAAATAGTTTGCTTTTCTTAGTTTTAATTTCATCTGGAATGAATGACTGGAATGAACACATCAACTTTTGGTTAAATATTTAAGTTCTTCTGGTATAAGGCTTGGTTGCTTTGGGGCTCACATGTGCTTGCATGTATATTCCCACATCTTTTCTGATGATCTCTGAAGAGGAAGAAAGAGCATGGATGCCTAGGGATGCATGAGCCTGGTTATTTCTAGCCCTTTCCTATACACACTCTTCAACATGGCAAATATTTTCAAACAAATACACTGGTTAAAAGAATAACATTGTAAGGTAGTTTCATTTTTCATCTAAAAATATGTGCACACAGGCAATTTCAGCGAAAATGGATTTCTGCTTAAATTGTCTAGCGATTTACCTAAATTCCCTGCTTTGCCCTGAGCATATAAAAATTATTTAGGGTATAAAGCATTGAACCTTATAAATCAAGTAATCAATATTGATTAATTATTTCCCCTCAACTTTAGTTTGCTTTTAACCTAAGATTAGGTTTACAGTCATCACTAAAAAGTGAAAATGTGGCTGGCCACAGTGGCTCATGCCTGTAATCCCTGCAGTCTGGGAGGCTGAGGCGAACGGACCACGAAGTCATGAGTTTGAGACCAGCTTGGCCAACATGGCAAAACCCTGTCTCTAATAAAAGTACAAAAATTAGCCAGGCATGGTGGCGGGCACCTGTAATCCCACCTACTCAAGAGGCTGAGGCAGGAGAATCACCTGAACCCAGGAGGTGGAGGTTACAGTGAGCCAAGTTTGTGTCATTGCATTACAGCCTGGGTGACAACAGCAAGACTCCATCCTCCCCACCCTCCGCAAAAAAATGAAAACTTAAACATACACAGACTGTCTCCAGCATTGCTCTGGCGGTGTATGATGAAGAAGTATGTTTGAATTAGATAGAGAAAATTCATATGAAATATTCTGAAGCTATGTTTCCTAAGGAGAATGGCTTTATCCAAAATAAAAAAAAAATCATTGTTCAAATAAATTTCTAAAGATAAACTAGAACTTTAACCTGTCACCTAATAGAATTTTAGGGTTTTGGGGAATAGTAGTTGCCAGATCTATGCAATGACAATGTCAATATAGAAAGCTTAGTTTTCCACATGAGAGAAGAACTGAAGGATAGAAGGGACACTCTTACAGCAACACTGTATAAACTTAGCAGCATGAATGTTTTCTACGTTTCCATCTTAGTCACAATTAAGGATAAGGAAGAAAAACTATCAAAAGTTTATTCATAGAATTAAAGAGTTTTATTGATAAAAACAGCTATTTCTTTTATAGTAAGTTCTTTTTGTCAGAGGCAGAAATAGAAATTTGATGCTTTAGAAGATATTTTGGGTTTCAAAGAGAAACTGCTACTTTACTGTGGAAAATATGTAGTACTCTGTGAAAGCTGCCTTACAGCAAGGAGTTTCAGGAAACATTCAAGAAAGAAAACCAATGTGAGATGCTTTCATTTTAAAGGAGTCCCTGTTTCAGTGTTTCCAACAGAAACAAGAGAAAAGGTAATAAGAAATATTTTTCTCCCTTATAAGACATACATCACTCCTGAAATTCTTAGAAAACCAACTGAGGCAAATTAGGGGTTTCAAAGCTAGTCACCTTTTAAGTTGTTGGGAAAAAAATTTGCATTTAAATTGCTCTGCGTACCTTGAGATTTTTCCCTGGAATGCTTATGGCTCTTTTTTCATTCATACTTAAAAAAATACAATTTCATAACCAGGGTATTACTACATCTAGTTGTGTTAAGAAGAGAAACTTCATTTCATAAAATAGAAACATTCAAAGTGGTTTAGGTCAACCAATCACTCAGTCAGAATACTTGAATTCTTCATATTGAACACTTAATAGTGAAATTATTCTGAAACCATATCAATCTCCATTTCTTATACAGAAACTAGGTCATTAATAGCTCTATCAGAGGGAATAAACTGTGTCCTTATATGCTCTGCTGATAGGAACAAAGATAGTCCAGAACTTCTTGGAACTTCATCATCAAAATAGTTCATATATATATATGTATATATATGATTTATTTTTAATGGGTAATTCTTAAGTACCATTTCAATTACTTGCTTTACATATTTAGAAATGTAGATACAAGAAAAATATTAAATGTGCAAAATGTTCTTTTTATGTGTACATTTAAAAAATACAATGTAATAATAGCTTTAAACTTGTCAAAAAGCCATTGGGGAAAATAAGCCTTCAATGTCAGAAAATCTGGTTAAATTAGAGCTTTTGCTTGTGAAATTGTAAACAAACTTTTAAAAATTCTCAGAGTTTTCTCAATTCTTCCCATCCAAGATGCTCTTGAACACATCACATCCCTCTTTGAAGTAAACCTGAGCTGAATTAATGCTGTTCAACACCTCTGACAGGGCTTCTTGAAGGGTCTCATCTGGCGCAAGGGGTTTGCAGCATTCCAAAGCCTCCATGAGTATTGAAAACTGGCTTGTCTGTTCATCAAGGTGGTACAGGATGTTTCTGAAAAGAAATACAAAATGTATAAATGGTTCATGCACAATGCTATTTTTCTATCAAAGGCTGGAATGAATGCTGTTTTCAATAAATGAATAAATTATAAAAATATAATATCACTATTTTTCAACTCCTAATAAATTAATGAATTTGGACACTGATCACCAAGTTTCCCATATTGATGAGAAAGAGAGTGATGATCAGACATTATGTGCCTCCTGATGGAAATACACAACACTATGAAACAGAAAAATAAAAAGCAGTTTTGATAGAAAAAGAAAATTATATCTGAATCTGATGATGCTTCTAGATTTAATTGCTAACAAATACAGGAAACATAAAAAATGTGTTAATTATACCACAATGTATAATTAGCAAAATATAGATGTGGAAAACTTTATAAGACAAAAGACCCGGTTTATTCAACAAGTAAATTACAATGCAATGTATAATTCAGGAGGAACCTATATAGACCAAAGTTTCTCAACCTTGCCCTCTTACTGTTCTGGCTAGATAATTCTCTATTGTGGTGGCCACCTTGTGTACTGTAGGATGTTTTGCAGCATCCCTGTCCTCCACACACTAAATATCAGTAGCATTCCTCCTTTAGTGTAAAAACCAAAAATGTTTCTAAATATTGACAAAATATCAAAAACAGAGCAAAATTGTCCACAAAAATATCAACCAATCACAAAGCATAGACGTTACTAGACCTGTATTTAAACAGTTTAAAATATGAGACGTAATACAAAACTGAATAGAGATTATTGGGTGATATTAGGAAATTGAAAATATTTTAGATGTGATAATGGTATCATCAATGTTTTCTAAAAGTGCCCTTATCATTTAGAAATATTAATACATACTGTAATATTTGCAAATGAAATGTTATTGTGTCTGGAATTTGCTTCAAATGTTTGGAGGGAAGATAGAATAGAGCAATAGATAGTATAGGGGCAATACAGTTGACAATTCGTCAATAATTGTTGAAACTGGGTAATAGAATTCATTACACTGTTCTCTCTTCTGTTATATATGTTTGACATCGAGAATATCATCTTGTCACAAGGGTGGAATGCACAAGAAGATGGTGCCCTGTAACTTCGTCAAATTGCTGAGAAAGCGAAATTTCATTTGGGAAAGTCTAAGACAGTCACCTTTATTCATGGATAGATACACATAGATGCATTTTGTTAGGAAGCTATGAATTACTGCATCATTGGCTTATTTCCCACCCAAACCAGCTGAAACCCCATGCTCTAATAAGAGAGAAAACATGTAAATAACTGAAATACATTATTCTAATCATTACAGTAGAGATGTAAGGTCTAGTTATAACAGATGATAGATTGCTACTGGGAAAGGTCAGAAAACGGTCTAAAATGGAGAATATTTACACAGCATCTAGAAAGATGATGGGAACTACAAGTTACAAAAGTTTAGAAAAAGCAAAAAGCTAAAACACATGAAGGCAGGACAGCATCCTATGCAGAAGAAGTGGAAGGAATGGCATAAGAAAAACAAAATTATAAAACAGAAAGATATCCTAAGTAAAATCAACATTAGCATTTCCGTAAGACCAGAGTATAGGGCCAGAATGGGCAACTATAGGAGCAGACATGGGAGAACAAGCCATAGTCATATCATACAGGGCCTGGTATACCAAGGTAAAAGATTATGCTTGTTTCTATAAGCAATAGGGAACCAGAGAAAAACTGTAAAGAAGAAAGAAGAGTGATTATCTTTCATTTTGGAATAATCACATTGGTTGTATTCTAGGGCCTGGAGAACAGAAGGCCACTTAGTTGAAAAGTGACAAAGACTTAAATTACACAGTGATGACTTAGTTTGAAAAGATGGCATCAGGGTCACAGCACAAAATTTATTAATTTATAATTTTCTCTAGCACCAGCATCAACATGATAGAGTTCTTGATCGGCCTTTCCTCTCCCAGCAATGCTTCACTGACTCAGCCTCACCAGCACTTCTCACCACATACTCTGTAGGGATTAATGGGCGGCAAAATCTACCTAATCCTGCAAGCGAGAATCCCGTAAGTCATCTGCTTTCCTTACATGTCCAATTGGCTTCTGATATTTATTCATCTCTGTGTCTTATCTGTTGTGATATCCTGATCCATATTTTCGAGGATACGTTATGATCTCATTGCTTTATAATTCAGAGTGAAGAACATATTACTTCTGTATCAAGTCTAATTCAGTGCTGTGAAGATAGGAGGTCTTTAGCCAGGTTAATTTCATTTACTTAAATTTTTATCCAGCTTACCTCAGTGCTGGGAACTCAGTAGACCCTCAATAATGTTGATATAAGCTATATTAATTCAGCTTATTTTGCATTTTAAGCCCCAATTAATTGAAGAACAGTAGATTTTGTATCTTTGGAGAGAAATTTCTGTTGACAATAAGTGGGGGTGGGAAAATAAGATTATCGAACAGAGAAATTATTTCAATGATTTTGTTCAAGATAGAAAAATTGAAATGGGAACTATCCCTGATAATGCAATATTGTTGACAAACATTAAGTTAACTGTTGAAGAATATTAAGTTTACCCTGCCCCCATGGCTCCCTTATGGAGAACACCTTTTAGTTTGTAATTAGTGGTGGGTGGGTAACAGCTACCTAGTTGGTATATTTTTGAGTTATGGGTAAATATGGAACACTTGTTTATTAAGAAGAATGACCTGTTTAAGAGAGAATAAATATGTGGATCAGAATCTGCTTGGGGCCTTCAGCCTGGAAAGCTGTCAGCCCCTGAGGCTCTCAGCTCAGTAGGTTGCTGGTCCTCCAGATAGATCCACTTTGCTGTTCTATCTAGTGTCTCCCTCTAATTGCCTTCAGTGCGGTCTCCTGTCTGAGTTGGTACTTGGTACAATATCCTTGATCTTCATGCTTATGAGTAAACTTGGCATAGTATTAAGAAAATAGAGCAGCACAAGAAAGATACTTTCAAAATTCTGAATATTCTTGAATTCAGGTTTACACTTTGTATTAAGAACAATATGTTCCCTGAAAATGAGTGGGAGAAAATTACCTTCCAGGTGGAGTAGCAGGTGGGTTGTAAGCAATGCTCCAGTATGAGGGCTTGTGGAGTATAGAAGCACGGTAACTCAAAGAGCACATAAGAGCAGATAGCACTGCCTCTGACATAGGGGAGAACCCCACCTGCCTCATCACCAAAACTGCTGACTTGACCCACATTTTGGTCACCTGGTCTGTGAAATGCACAATTTATGCCCATGCACACAACTGCTCTGGGCCTCTGTTACAGATGAGAAGTGTGCAACCTGGGAATAAAGTATATGTTCAATAAATACAAAATTGATTTATCATCCAGAACCAGGAAATGTCAGATCCCCTGTATACTCAGAAAATTTTGTCTCTACTTCCAGAAGCAGAACACTCTTTAAAGCAGACGTTTTCCCTTTTCTATTCCCCAAGGTTTTTTTTTTTTTTTTTTTTTTTTTTGAGACAGAGTCTTGCTCTGTCGCCGGGAGCCAGGCTGGAGTGCAGTGGCGTGACCTCGGCTCACTGCAACCTCCACCTCTTGGGTTCAAGCAATTCTCCTGCCTCAGCCTCCCGAGTAGCTGGGACTACAGGCACGCGCCATCACACCCAGCTAATTTTTTTTGTATTTTTAGTAGAGACGGGGTTTCACCATGTTGGCCAGGATGGTCTTGACCTCTTGACTTCCTGATCCACCCGCCTTGACCTCCCAAAGTTCTGGGATTACAGGTGTGAGCCACTGCGCCTAGCCTCCCCAAGTATGCTTAACATTAAAGAGATTTTCAGGAGAAGCCATTCAACCATGCAACTGTAATCATGTAAGAAATTATTTATGTATGTACATGTACATATCTATACATGTATTTTTAACTATAGAACTTTTGAAAATGTTTTGATGATATCAAAATGACTTAAACAAAATAGTGAGAATCAGTGAAATACATATTGAAAGTTTCCCTAAATACTCTATTTCGTAAAAATGAGAAACCAAATAATTTTAGAGAAACTTCAACTGAACTGTAGAATTGTTCAAAACGAAGATGAAACTGCCTGGCATAGTTTTATACATGACAGAACCTAAACAAAGATTCGTTTTTTCAGTCTGATATAAGTTTTCTTCATTGTCATTCAGGAAAAAGAATTGGTTTCTGGTGCCAGGATACCTATCAAACATATTTACATTCATAATCTACTATTTAAACAAATATAAATATAAATGGATATATATATATATATATACACACACACACACACACACACACACACACGTTATGTATTTGTATGTAAATGATAAAAAGTCATTTAATAATCAAGATATTTTAAAGATAAAAATGAATTAAAATGTTTTAATTATTCAGTCATGTAAAAAGTACTGCTTTGTAGAAAACTTATACTACTTTACCAATAAGAATAAACTAATAAAAAATTATAATAAAAAATTAAGTTTTTCATATTTATAGTTATGAATTACCTTCCTGCACTTTATGAGTTTCATGTTTAATTATGAATCATTAAATGTGAAGTTTATTACCAGAATTTAAGAGAATTCAATAGATATTTTAAAATCGTATCAAACATTTTATTTCCATTCCTTGAGGACATATTGCTTAGTATACTGACAAACAAAAATATTGTAATCGCTATTCATATTCAATTTAATAAGATGATATTAATAAAATATGCTCATAAAAGTTACAGATCAATCCTGTGATGACAATTCACGTAAGCACGAACAGTCTCTAATATAGTTATACAAAATTTGCCAACAACTACCATAAAATATCTGAAAGAGATATAATATAGAAGAGTAAAAATACATCCAAAAAAAAAGTTCAGGTATGAAATACAAGAAATTAGAATGATTACTATTTTTTAACTGAAAATCAATAGAACATTTCCTATAGGCCAATGCAATGGAATATGGAGCATACCAACACTTGCATCTCCTAACTAGTAAGCAACATAGTAACATGCTTTCATAA